TCACACCAGTGAAGCAGAAGCCCTCCAAGGAGCTGAGGCCCATGCTCGGGGCCATCTTGCTGGGCCTCATCCTGTTCATTGCCGCCGTGGTGGCCTGGTGCTACTACACCGTGTCCCTGCGCAAGGCCGAGCGGCTCAAGACAGAGCTGATGGACCTGCGGGCGGATGGCTTCGTCATCAGGAACCAGCACGGGGAGGTGGTCTTCCGGCTGGCCTTCCGCTCGGGCAGACTCGACCTGGAGTCGTGCTCCAAGGAGGGCGAGATTTTGAGCTGCACGCGGTCAGGCGGGGGCCCGCTCAACTTCTTCATCCAGACAGTGAAGCCCAAGGACACGGTGATGTGCTACCGTGTGCGCTGGGAGGAGCTGGCGGCCGGCCCGGCGGTGGAGCACACCATGTTCTGGGAGGACGCCCACTGGTACGGGGGCTCGGAAATGAGCACCCAGCACTGGCCCATCCGCCTGGCTGGCTACCAGGACCCCATGCCCTATGTGACGAGTGACGTCTACTCCTTCCGCGACAGCTTTGGTGGCATCCTGGAGCGCTACTGGCTGTCCTCCAAGGCGGCAGCCATCAAGATCAATGACTCTGTCCCCTTCCACCTGGGCTTCAACGCCACTGAGCGCTCCCTCTTCTTCCAGGCTCGTTACAGGGACTCGCCCTACAAACCCCCACCGGGGGAGCAGCCCTTCCCCGAGCTCAGCTACCGAGTGTGTGTGGGCTCCGACGTCACCTCCATCCACAAGTACATGGTGCGCAGGTACTTCAACAAGCCCTCCAAGATCCCTGCTGAGAATGCCTTCCGATACCCGATCTGGTCCACCTGGGCCCTTTACAAGAACGACATTGACCAGGATAAGCTCTTGCGATTTGCTGAAAATATTAAGAAGTACCGTTTTAACTGCAGCCACATTGAAATTGATGACATGTACACACAAACCTATGGGGACTTTGACTTCGACCCTGTCAAGTTCCCGAATGTGACAGAGATGTTTGCAAAACTGAGGGAGGATGGGTTTAAGGTCACCCT